GGGGCCAAGGTCAAGCCCCAGCCAGCTTCCACTGAGGTAAGCCAAAAGCCCCAAGCCCCTCAAAACTCCGTGGGTCTCTGCCTACTTATCTCTATGACGCTCCTGTGTTCCAGTAGTGTTAAAGTTCCCTCTAAGCAACTCTCCTGGGCTGGATTCTGTGGAGTCCCACTGGTATGTGTCACTCCGTCGGCATCTTCTTGGAAGTCCAATCAGGATGCTTTCTTAATGTACTGTTACTCTTTATATAAACTCTCTCTCTTATACATGAGTTTTTGTGGATTTGTTTCCCTAGTTTACCTAGATTAGCACAACGAGTTTCTTTTTTGCACACCTCTTGAAACGACTACTATTGCATGTGATGTATTTGACACAGTTGGTTCATTTCTGAAAGAGCCTAAGATTTCTTGGGGAAAGGTTTATGGTGTTTGCACGGATGGTGCTCCAGCTATTCTAGGATCTGGATTTCAATGTTTGGTACTGAATGAGTCACCAAAAGTCATCATAACTCACTGTATGGTTCATCGGCAAATATCAGCAACAAAGACGCTGCCACAAGCGTTACAAGATAATGAAAAGCGTCATAAGTTCTATCAATTTTGTAAAGGCGAGCACTTTGAACAGTCGACTGTGCATAACTTTGCAACATGTTGGATGCGCTAAACAACGCTCTGCTATTTCACACTGAAGTGAGATGGTTGTCGAGAGGAAGTTTTAAAACATGTTTTTGAGCTTCGTGATGAACTCAAAACGTTTTTAAATCAGAAAGCAAGACCTCAGTTCAAAGCACTTTTGAGCGATAACTGAACTGCAGAAAATAGCTTACTTGGTTGACATCTTTGCCATCTTGAATGAGTTAAATTTATCACTGCAAGGACCAAATGCAACATGCCTCGATTTGTTTGAAAAGATCAGATCAATCCAAATGTCAATTCTAGTTGTAAGTCTAGCTGTAAACTGAAATCTTTTATGTTTTAGTGTCAACATCTTCCTGAAGACTCGGTGTTCAGCGCTTTGTGCTCAGACAAGCCCTCTAAGAAGTACGTGTGGTATTGGGTCAGAGTTGTTGACCTGGTCTGAGACTGGTATTTATGTTCCTTAGGAGAAAACTCGGGAGACTTGGCTTGGTGCAGCATGTCTCAGGTGTAGAAGAGCTGGCAAAGCTATTTTCTAGTACAGGAGTTACTATTTTATCTGAGAAATAGGGCTTCTTTTTCTCTCCTTAGTTGCAAAACTTATACAAATATGAGCAAAAAAGTCCTTATGTGTCTTTGGGAGCTTATAGTTGGTACAAAGTTCAAATCTCAAGCAAATTCACGGAATTCTCACTTTTTAAACAACTGAATCCTAAGGTAACTAATTACACTGAATAATGACTGGGGCTGTGGTGGCTACAAGGCTGATATATTATCTCTGAATGCAGCCAGAAAACAATGCACACACTTGAAGCACTGGAGGCCCCTCCAACTGTGCTAAGCACCAGGACGCACATATCAGTGCACACATGGTAAGAGGGGAGGGGTTTGGAGAAGGGCAAAACCACTGGCAGCGGGGGCGTAGGGGTGTTAGGATAGTGAGAAAGGCTTCAAGGAGAAGTGGGATTGGCGTTGGGTCTGGGAGGGAGGGAGGGGCAGTTCTTCAGAATTGAGAGTGAGTGGCATTGGGAAGTGTTGAGAGGAGGGCACCTGCTGGGACTGTGTGCGTGCTCAGGAGAGTTGCTATGCGGCTGTCCCAACAGGTGCTGTGGTGGGCAGCTGGGAGCCACATGATTGATAAGACTAGCATGCGGTAAGCTTCTACCCATGCCCAGTAATATGGGGACCTGAGGCAAAGTGAAAAAAAATCAGTAATACTGATGATGTTTATTGAAAAATTTGCTATTTTGTCCAGTATGAATTTTTTGCACTAGTCTTAATTTTTAAAAATACTGCATTCATGTTTTTTATTTTATTGCCTTAAATTTTGTTCACAAGGCAAGTGCTTCCGTCTGCCTGTCACTCTAGTGCCTGTCTTGTATTCTATTTCTGAAGTATTTGGTGGTAGGGACAGGGCATTTATTATTATTTATTATAATTTAGTCATGTTCTACGCTATGAGTATTCTTTGGCTAGTAGACAGTATTTAATACAAACAATGAAGACAAAGATATTAGAATTTTAAGATTAAAGTGGAACTTTTGAGCCTTAAAGTGTACTCCTGAGTTAACCTCTGGAGGCGTGACTATGTGGCAGCAGTGCATGCAGGGAAGAGCTGCCTGCCCCTGTCTCTGGAGGTGAAACTTGGGGTCCTGGAGGCTGCTCTCCACTTGGAGACAGGTCTGAGCCACTGAGCTAGAGGGTCCCTGCCACAGAGCACAGGTCAAGTCACCTCCTGGGCCACACAAGGTAAGCCTGGGCCACACAAGGTAAGCCTGGGCCACACCCCATAACCGCCTCCAACCCTGCTAAGGCAGCTCTCTAGGCCACAGGGCTAACCCAGGGCCATGCCAAAAGGCAAGGAAAGACTCAGGGACCCCTATAGATGTCTCATGGTTGCTTGTATCCAAGGGAAGAGGGGGTGTTTGCTACAAAGAATATTACTAATCCATCCAAAAATGTAAAACATGAAAGCTATTGTTTATCAGTACATTACAACATGACTAAAGAAGATGGTTTTGAGCCAGGGAAGCTGCTTGGCGAGCAGCATGATCTCGGGAAAGACCGAGGAGCAGCTGCTCCCAATGCTTGGCAGGCAGCAGGCCACTTCTGTGTCATCTGACGTGGACTTCCCAGTTAGCAGCGATGTTCAGCGAGAGGCGCTCCAGGCTCAGCGTGGATGTCCTGGCACTGTATGTGAAAGCCACAGGCTGATCTTCCCCATCTAAGAAGCAAGACAATAAAAGAGGGGAGCCTCGATGAATATCCAAGAGGGAAAAATCTTTTCTTTGAAATAGAAATGTTTTCTTATCCCATCATAAAGCCCTTATCCTGAAGGGGGACAAACAACAGAAATGTGGGTGAAGGGAGACAGCTGTCGGTGTAAGATAGGAAAATAATAATAATTTATAAATTGTTAAAGGGTCATGAGAGAGGAAGGGTGGGAGAGGGAGGCAAAAAATGAGGAGCTGATACCAAGGGCTCAAGTAGAAAGCAAATATTTTGAGAATGATGAGGACAACAAATGTACAAATGTGCTTGACACAAGAGATGCATGTATGGATTGTGATGAGTTGTATGAGCCCCCACTAAAATGATTTAAAAAAAGAAATATTTTTAAGAAAACCAAAACCACACACTCACTGCCATCTCATAGCGAGCCTATAGGGCAGGGCAGGCTGCCTCTGAGGGCTCCCTAGAGTGCAAACCATTACAGGAGTGGGCAGCCTCACATTTTCCCTGTGGAGCGAGTGGTGGTTTCAAACTGCTGACCCTGTGGTTATATGTAAGACGTTAATAAGAGAAACAATGTGCACGCAGGAGAGGGTGTTTATAGCAATTCTTAATTCATGCACAATATTTCTGTAACCCAAAAAGTAATCTAAAATACAAGGCCTATTGTGAAAAATAAATAAGTAGATAAAGCCCTTGTCTCACTGGAGAAAGTCCGATGTAATAGTACTTTTACCCATGATTTCCAGTAACTTTTAAACATGGAGCACTCCATTGTTCTGAATGCAAAGAGTGGCTGGGAAAAAAGTGTAAAGAACACAGTGATCTATTCCAGAAATTCAGCAGGTAAGAAAGAACATAATCCCAACTACAACCTTCAATAAACTCCGTAAACATAATAAGCACCTTAAGTCTTATCTAAGATTCTCTCCAAACCCAACAGGGTTGAATTGCCCCCTGTGAGTTTTCACAATTGAAACTGTCTATGAGAGTACAAAGCCCCAGTTTTCTCCCAAGGAGTGGCTCATGGTTTCAAACTGCTGATTGCTTACTTTGTGGAGTGCAGCTGAACTCATAATCACTGTGAGACCATGAGTCCTAAGACCCTCTAGTGCTTCAAATATCTACCATGCAGGAAAAATAATCAGAAAAGCTAAAATATTATTTCAAGTCCCAAATAAGTGCATGGAGATTTATGATTTATAATGAGCAGAGAGACCATTTAATGAAGAGAAGCCGGATCGCCTCACTCACTTGAGGCTAGTAAGTTTCACTCCATCAGAAAGCCAAGAACTGACTTGGTTTACACATATTACTTCTGTTTTGGGACTAATCCTTTCTACATGGAGATCCTTCTAGATTTCCACGGACAGATGATGATCAATAGCCCGTTTCCTCACCAGATGAGTGGGTGGTCACAGAAGATGGCTGCTTGCTCAGGCCCAGGACCACGATCTGCTCGACCACACACTTGCTGCGATAATGACCCCTTGCATCGGCACAGCTGGAATTGATACACATGGAATTAGGAGAAGGAGAAGAACAGAGGCTTGGGTTGGTGACTAAGTCACATGCTGAGCCTAGTGAGTTAGTTTCCCTTCTATCTGTCCCTCTGGGGGCACAAATCATACAGCTATCAGACTTACCAGGCTGGAGAGAGGAAACAAGATAACTCTGTGAAAGGACTAGCCAACCCAGTGGCCAAGCCAACCTTCCTTTGACAAGCTATTTGGAGGCATCACTAAGGACAACTGTGATTTGAACATGGCAATCAAATTGTAAGAAATTTGTAAGAAACACGATTGTTGAATGGATGAGCGCATGGGATCAACTGAGTACTTTACAATCATTTCTACAAAGAGGTGGAGAAAGGAGGACGGGGACAATACAGAAGGGATCCTCATGGCAGAATGATTGGAAGTGAATATCCAAGAGGGAAATACCATACAAGCAGTATTTTTGAAGATGAAAAATGACAGCATGCTTTATTTAAGAAAATACATTGCTTTTAGCTGTAATTACCTATTGCTCAAAACCCCTGAGCAGAATGAAAAACTCCGGTGCAAGAACTCTTGCTGGTGGCGGTGCCGGAACGAGTGGCCATCATCCAGATACAACCCGCCAGCTGCCGAGCCCTGGCGAGTGAAGCACAGGGAGAGAGCGTGTGTATCATAAGGCTTTTCTAGGAAACAATGAAAGCATGACGTTCAAGCTAGACAAAGTGTTCATACAGATATGAGTGTATGCACTGACTGGACCGGGAGTTACGAGCGAGAGGAACATGCACGTGATGTGCACGAGGAACACAGGAGCAAGGCAATGCTAAAACTGAAACTGGGAAGTGTGGCTAGTGGCAGAGAGGACTTCTCTGAAAACACTACCCCAGAATGTGGCAAGGTCAGGAAAAGCTCATAATACGAAACTGAAGTTAAACCAAACCAAAACAAGAATCAGTATGTATGGAATGAAATCAACTATCTGGAGAAGACACTGCATCTTAGAGTCTGGTTCCTCTCTTTACTAAGAAAACCCCTCTTACAGGGGGAAGAAGTCATAGCACTTATACAGTTTACTTTTACTGAGAGTGAGGCTTGATGTGCTGTGGCACTTTAATGTCTTATACTCATTCCGTGGCTTCTCCTGGGTCTAAAGTCCATAGTTTGGTCTGAGAAGGCAAACCTAAAACAACTTGGAAAGAGTTGCAGCTAACTTGATTATTGTATAATATTTGATAAAAGTAATTTTTTTGGGGGGTGTGCTCTGAACTATTTTTTGGCAAATAGGGACTAGTAGAGGAGTTAGCTGTGGGCTTCACTTGGCTCAAAACATGTTTCCATTCTGAAATTGGTGGTGAGGAGGGGGTATAATGCCTGGTGGGGTTTGATCAAGTACAATGTATCGGAGAGGAATTACTGAGAGCTGAATGGAGGGTGAGCATGATAGTGGGACAGGAGGAAGGTGAAAGGAAATAGAAGAAAGAAGTAGGAGGCGAAAGCTATTTATAGAGGTATAGCTATAGGCACATACACATGTAAATATATTAATTTATAATGAAATAGATAGAGGTCAATGTACATATACTTATAGTATAAGTATTAAGATAGCAGACAGACTTTGGGCCTCTACTCAAGGACTCCCTAAACACGAGAACACTTTATTCTAATAACCTGACAATCTTGATACTCACCTTCCTGACACGATCACTGAAGACAAAATGGATAAGCAAATGTGAAGAAAGCGGATGGTGTCTGGCTATCAAAAGATATAGTGCCTGGGGTCTTAAAGGCTTGAAGTTAAACAAGCAGGCATGTAGCAGGGAAGCAACAGAGCCCACATGAAAGAAGCACACCAGCTTGAGTGATCACGAGGTGTGAACAGGATCAGGTATCAAAAGAGCCCAAACAAACAATTATATTCATGTGAAAGAGGGGCTTTAGAGTGGAGACCCAAAGCCCAGCTGTAGACAATTGGACACCTCCACCAGCACCCCCCACTCCCATCCCCACAGAAGGGTTATAAGGAAGGGATGATTCCAACAGGGTGCAGTATAACCTGATGAAACACACATCATTCCTCTAGTTCCTAAATACTTCCTCCCCACCACTACCATGACCCAGTTCTACCTTACAAATCCGGCTAGACTGGAGTACACACATTGGTACAGATAAGAGCTCTCGATACATGGAATTCAGGACAGATATAACCCACAGGAACACTAGTGGGGAGTAGTGATATCAAGAGGGTAGGGGGAAGCTGGGGCCAAGGGGTGGGGAAGGGGGAGGAAGGGAGAACCCATCACAAGGTTGGATATATAGCCCACCCTCCAGGGTGATGAATAACAGAAATGTAGGTAAAGGGAGACAACAGACAGTATAAGACACAGAATAACAACAATTATATATAATTGATCAAAGATTCATGAGGGTGGGGTGGAGGGGTAGGGAGGGGAAAAAAGAGGAGCTGATGCCAAGGGCTCAAGTAGAAAGAAAATGTTTTGGCAATGTTGATGACAACATATGTATAAGTGTGCTTAATACAATTGAATGATGGATTATCATAAGATTTGTAAGCGCTCCCCAATAAAATGATTAAAAAACAAAACAAAAATAAATACATGAAAAAAATAGAAAAAGATCTTCTCAAAAGGACAAATCATAATATATAATATAATATAATAATAAGGGTTCCTGGGGGGGCAGAGTGGGGCAGGGAAGGGATAAAGGGGATCTGATATCAAAGAGTTCAAGAAGAAAGAAAATGTTTTGACACTGATAGTGGCTGGCAGCAATTGTACAATTATGCTTGATGTAATTAAATTAAGGATTGTTATAATATCTGTAAGAGCTCCCAGTAAAATGATTTAACAAAAAAAGACAAATCAGTTTTGGATTCTCATCGGCCGCCAGGCCTCCCCCAGAGAGATGTTACAGCATTTGGAGTCACCTAGTGAGACTAGAAGTCACTGTGTGGGTATAGTGTCCCGAAAGTGTTGTGGAAGCACAGCCACCCTGTCCCAGGAGGCTGGGTTTCGGGGCCCCGTGAGCGTTCAGCCCTGTGGTGGTCAATACCACACTGCACAGGCCCCAGCAGATCATTCTTCTCTCTCCCAGAGCTCAGTGTACTCCTGAAAACAACCAGCTGTCAGACAAGCTATAGACAATGACTCAACACAAGAAGGGGGTCACCACTTTTACATGTTGTCACACATGCAAAGGCCACCACTGGAAAGCGGAACAGCAAGTGAGATGTGTACAGGGAACAGGTTTTCCAAATACCTTTGCACTCGGGGCTACCCGGAGTCCATACGGGTACTCGGTCATCCAGCCTGTGGACTTGCCTATGGCGGTCTTTACTGGCACCACACTTCCACCTCGCTGGAACACTGGTATCTGAAATTTGGGACAGCACTCTCAGGAGAGGAGTATGCACAGACGGAGATTTCAAAGTGGAATTTCAGAACTTGTATCTTTGTAAGTATAGATTGAGGCCCAAATAAATTTGTAGGCATAGTAATGGCATTTCTCAATATGACAACTTTGACATTAAAAAGAAAAATTCACAAACACTAAACAACAGCCTAATGTCCCACTTTTTATCAATTCATTATCTATACATATTTAGTCAGTGAATGAATGAATGGTAGTCTTCCATATTTTAACTCCTGGAATCTGGGGAAGTGGTCTTTATTGGGAAAAGTTTTTTATAATTAAAGATTAAAAAAAAAAAGGCCACCTTGGGCCTTATAAACCACGATGAGTGTGCTTCTGAGAGGCCACAGAGAGAGCCTGGCATGACGTGAGTCGACTGAAGACTGTGGCAGAGATGACATTCTGCAGCCGGAGGCCAAGAAACACTTGGAGCCACTGGAAGACGAGAGATAAGGAGTGGGGCTCCCTTGAGCTCCCAGAGGGAACACAGCACTGCTAGAGTTTATAGTCTTAGCCTCCAGAAGCTTCTACCGTGGTTTTAAACCACTACACTGGCAGCCACAGGCCATAGATCCAATCTTCCTTTAAGTGACGGGCTCTATTTTGACCATGCTGTAAGTACTCTTTTCTATTTAGGTAAAATAAAACACATTTATTTCTAGGACTTTCTGAAAGATGGGATTTTTCTATGTGTAAATGGACCCAGGTGTGTGTATCATCCTATAAAAGATGGTGGTTTCAGAAGGGGGAGAAAGGGGGAATCGATCGCAATGATTGATGTGTAACCTCCCCAACCCCCTGAGTGGGACGAACAACAGAAATGTGGGTGAAGTGGATATGGGAGACAGCGGATGGTGTAAGATATAAAAATAATAATAATTTATCAAGAAGTCACGAGGTTGGGAGAAGGAGGTTAAAAAGAGGAGCTGATACCAAGGGCTCAAGTAGAAAGAAAATGTTTTGAAAATGGTGATGGCAACATATGTACAAATGTGCTTGATATAATTGATGTATGGATTGTTTAAAGAGCTATATGAGCCCCCAATAAAATGATTTAAAAATAAAGAAAAATGGAAAAAATCATGCAATAAAAAAAAAAAGATGGTGGTTTTCTGGTTTGGGGACAAGACGTTTGTGTGTCCCCACTGGAGCCTATGACCTTTCATTCCTCGCTTCTCTGGATCACCAGAATGAGGATCAGGAGTCTGAGGGATTCTCCCCTTGAGCAGCCTCCACAAGCATGTCCGTGGCTCTAACACAGCGCTGAAGGGACAACTTACAATGCCTGTACTTGCCTACTCAAACCTACCCTATGGTGTGGAGGAAGAAAGGCCTGGCGATTTGCTCCTGTCAAGATTACAGTCCAGAAATCTCTACACAGCAGTTCTATTGTAAGCTACATGGGTTCACCATGGGTCAGAATTGATTCAAGTTTGCCTTTTTTTTAAAGATGTGGAATTGGGCAGGAAAAGTCCCATAGGGTTTTTGCCTCCCAGGCAATACCCTAGTAAGGAAGCTGTCTGCATTGCATTAAGACTTGTCCTTTGGTAGCAGAGGCAGGGAACCGAGTACAAGAACCTCTAGGGCGTTGGGAGTGAGGGTTGACTAGTTACGATGTCCCTCTTCTCTCCTTGACTCACAGTTGGGAGCAAGCAATAAAGCATGTTTCTTCCCTCCACCTCCACCTCAAACTGGTCAGTCTTTCACCTTCCTCCAGAGAATGGGCTCTGGGGTCTGAGTCCAGGAGAGCTAAGTCTTGTCTCAGTTTGGCCGTAGTCTAAGGGTGACAAGTAGTTTAACTTTCTTAAAGCTATTTCTTCACTTGTTAAGTGTGTCAGACTGGAGGAGAACACTGTTAAAGTCTCTTCTAGATCTTAATCCGAAATCAGATTCTCTATAACGTGTTTCTGATGGCTGTGTTGTGATTGTACTGCAGGAGGAAAATTCTCTTGAGAGACTTGGTCAGTCTGGATGGGCCACTGTGATTCTAACATCATGACTGATAGTGTTCTCTTGGGCCTTTAGCCCAAGGCCATGACTGGGCTGTTGACCTGGCCTGTAGAAGGACCTTCTTTCTGTATGGCATGCGTGGTGACTAACATGCTTTCTCTTTGTTTTCAATGTTATTTTTCTCAGACACATACAAATGCAAACACAGGGGGAAGAGTTGTGTGTATACCTGATGCTTCATATTGTGAAACGGAGTATATGGTTCTCATGCCATGCAATTAATCCATCTAAGTACATAAATAAATGGCCTTTTGAATATTTAGCATTTTGCAATTATCAGCACAATGAATTTAAAAATATTGTGATCATTCTAAAAAAGAAGCTCTGTATTCTTTAGGAACCATTCCTCTCAAACCCCGCCTCTTGCCTAGACCTCAAAGCTTTGAGTTGATTCTGACTCAAAGTGACTCTGAAGGACAGAGTAGACGAGCCCCTTTGGGTTTCCCTGGCTCTAAGTCTTGGTGGGAGCAGGAAGCTGCTTCTTTCTCCGGCCGAGCAGTTGGGTTCCAACGGCGGGCCTTGTGTTAGCAGCCCAAAGTGCAACCCACGAGGTCAACAGAGTTCCTTCGCCCAAGGCAGCCATGCTCTACTTTCTGTCTCTGCACCCATATGTTACTGTGCAGCACCACAACATACTTGTTTCTTCCTACAGACACACATGAGGTAAAATCATAGTCTGAAAATAACTTACAGTGTCCAAGGCTACTGGTATCTTCACAGTGCGTGCTCCTTCCCAACGCGCAAAGGTCTTAAAGTCATACCAGACCTAAAATCCAATGAAAACGATGAGCAACCCTGCTCCCCATTTCATTATGCAATAAAACAGCTACTCATCTGGATTTCAAATACCCAAAAAGCTACAGTAAGTATTATATGTCTTGGATAGAGAGCCCTGATGGTGTAGCTGTAACATGTCAGGCTGTGATCCACACGGTCGGCTATTCGAAATCACTAGCCGCTGCGCTGGAGAAAGACCGGGCTTTCTACTTTTGTAAACAGTTACAGTCTTGGAAACCCACAGGGGGTCGCTATGAGTCAGCACTGACTCGATGGCAGTGAGTTTGGTTTTTTGGTTTGGTCTCTTGGGTCGAAGTCTGGAAAAATATATGCCAAGACTTATTAATTTAACTAAAAGGCTGTTAATTTGCTCATTTATCTACCCCACGTGATTCATTGAACAACCTATTATGTGCCACACATTGTACTGGGTGATGGTTATACATGAAAAAACAGAAGAGACATGGTTCCTACCCTCACAGCAGATGGCTTATAAACATGTAATGTTTGGAGGAGTAGAAACATTAAGAAATAGAAAATGATCCTCTAAGGGAGGGATGGACGCAGTGGCTGCAACCAAGGGCTCAGGCCCAGGAACCGCGGCGAGAGAGTGCAGGGTGTGCAGTGCTTGGTGCTGCTGTGCACAGGTCGCTATGGGCGGTGCCGACTCGAGGGCACCTAACAGCAACGGTAGAAGAGACGCCAGAAAATCTGAGAAACAAACAAAAGCCACCTGCCACCCAGAATAAGGAGGCAGAAGAGTGGACTGCAAGAAGATAAATTACGAATGAGACGGGAGGAAAGGGACAGACTCCGAGAAGGACACAGCTCTCCAGGGAGAAGCAGCGGGAAACCTGGGTTACTCTCGCAGGCTTGTTTTCCCCTCAGACTCCGACTCAGGGAAAGGGCTCAGACTCTGATCTGAATCCCTGTCAAGAGGGCTCAGTGGCTGAAGTTCTAGAAGATCGCAGTAAGTAAGTTAGACCCGTAAGAGACCAGCAGGGAAGAGCATGAAGACGAAAACTTACCTTTCTCTCTTCTGGCCCAGTACCACTTCTGGGGTCCGTGCCCTGCACGAGCAGGTGTAGGATGGTATTTTATGAAGTGACAAGGATTAATAACTAATATTTACCACCACATCTAACAAAAGAACAGGGGTTTCCTGGAGGAGTTCAGGGGGAGGTTACTTTTGATTGGCTTGGATGAGCCTTTGGTACTAACAATAATCTGGATTCAGATAAGACAGAACAAAAGAGCAAAGAATTTCACACTTCACAGAAGATTGAAAATTTCTTCCTACTCAAAGCCTCAATATGTTTACAAGGAGTCACTTATAAGAGTCGTCTGATCTTCCTTGAATTCATCATCTACTCATCGTTATTCCCCAGGCCTTTCCAGCCTCTACAGACAGTGATCATCATGTCTTACAAGAAATCTTAATTGCTACAGTCATTCGGGCAGGGCTCACCACTGCATGATGAAGAAATGTTTTTCCTAAAAGGGACCAATTCATCAGCATGAAAGGATGGAAGAGAGATGTCAGATATGTGGCTGCTTACTCTTACCTCTTCTGAGCCTGGCAGAAACACATCAATCTCAGTGGCCTTTGCTTCTGTGACTGGATGAACCAATAAAGCACTCCCTAAAAAATGAAGAAGGAAGTAGAGTTGAGTATCATGATAAGAGGCCTGAAGACATTATTTGAGAGTTCCTGTGGTTTTAAAGCTCACTCAGTCTTCTTGAAGGTTGAGACTACAGTGAATTGAACCAATGATTCATAAGAAAGATGCATCGTTAGACAGAGAACAGATATATTATAACCACCATTCTGACAGCTTACCACCCTCTCTTTTGTGTACAAGAGTCCAGTAGTCAGAAAGTGCCACTGTGCCCCTGAAAGCGCAGCACTGTTTGCTGTGAGTGACTCTGCTGATGGAGAGCGCACAGCTGCTGTCCACAACTGTGCTCAGTGCGGATGCTCAGATGCTCTGGCGTGGCAGCTACCAGCAGGAAAGCTGTGGATCTCTTAAAAGTGACGTGGGTGGCTAATTTTGTTTTGGCCTTGGTAGTATGTACATAAAACTCATCTACTTATTCATTTATTCGATAAATATTTTTTGAGTGTCCCTCCTGAGTGTCAGGCACAGTGCTAGACTCTTAAAATAGAGCAGCAAATAAGAAGACCTGATCCCCGCCTTACTGAAATTTAGTGAAGACAGACATTCAGTAATTATGAATTAATTAGAGTTGTGACAAATACCAAGAAGGCAAATGTACAAGATGGAATGAAAGTCAGTGATAGGAATCGACTTTGACTGGGGTGAGTAGACTTACGCATAAGGAAGCAAGGAGGAATCAGGGAAGGATTCTCCAAGGAAGTGTCTATTATACAGAACGAAAGGATGGGTACAGGCTTCACAAGTTGAGTTTATTTTATTTTATTTTGTGATCTTCATTGTTTAGAAATGTGTTTCATCTTTTGGTAAGGTGACCAGATTTTAACATTGGTAAAGCGGGACACCATTGATAAAACTCATATCCTGGCGAAATAGCCACATGGCAGCCGAAAACCGTATACCCTAGCTTGTCGTGCATTCTTTCCAAAAATCAGGGCTTTTTAAAAATGCCGCGGGACGTGGGAAAAATTGTTAAAAATCAGGACTGTCCTGCCAAAAGCGGGACGTCTGGTCACCTTACTTTTGGGCAACTTGAGGCTGATGTTTTGAGCCCTGTTCCCAAGGTAACAACGTTCCATGTTCTGCATTGGACAGTTAATTCTCTTATGGATTGAGTTCTATCCTCCACAACTATATGTTACAAATTCTAATTCCTCTATCTGTGGTTATAATCCCATTTGGAAACGAGCTTTCTGTGTCATGTTAATGAGGCAGTATTAGTATGGGGTGTGTCTTAGCGCAATCTCTTTAGAGAAATAAAGGAGCATACTGAGTAAGCTCAAAAAGCAGAGCTGTGCGAAGACAACAGATACCACGCCATGTTCAGACCACCAAAGGAAAGAAGCTGAGCAGAGACCAGGACCTTCCTCCAGAGCCAACAGAGAGAGAGCCTTCGCCTAGAGCTGCTGCCTTCAATTTGGACTTGCAGCCTCTAACAATGAGAAAAACACATGTCTGTTCGTTAAAGCCACCCATTTGTGGAATTTCTGTTACGGCACCACTAATATAACAGAGACACTCTTGTTAAAGAAGAGGTCGACCAAAGAGACAGCCTATTACTCGTATGAAACAAGCTCTTACAATATGGAGCTCTGGTGGTGCAGTGGTTACGAGTTGAGCTGCTATCTAAAAGGTCAGCAGTTCAAACCATAAGCTGTTCCACAGGATGAAGATGGGGCTTTCAACTCCTGTAAAAAGCTACAATCTTGAAGCTCACAGGGACAGTTCTACCCTGTTCTATAGGGTCACTACGAGTCAGTAGCAACTCCAGGGCAGCGAGCTTTTTGGAGGAACTTATATCCATTTGATCCACTTATTTGGTACTTTCTTTTCTTACCGTGGCCTCAGAAGGCTTAATAATAGACTCAGAACAGCAATCCCAAATTGTGTCCAAAGAATCAGAGTGGGTTTATTTGAAGTTAACAAAAAGAATCTTAGGAGAGATGCTAAGTGACAACAGAATAGTGCTATGATCCTACTAATGCATATAGGTGCCAAAAATCTTGGAGAATTAATGTCTTTATTTTATTTTTTAGTTTTCTGGAAATTAAAAAAATTGTAGTGCTTATACAGCAGAAAACATAATAATAAAAACATATATACACTATTTATCATAATCATAATTAATCATAAAATACTTACCCAGCATGTACTCATCTTCCATACTAAATGCCTCTAATTCATAAGGGAATTCTACCCACAGAGGCCTGGGAAAAGAAAAATTAAAAAAACAAACAAACAGAATCTTATTTAGCACATTATATGTTTATTATAATTCAATCACTTCTACTTTTAGTTGTGTAACTCTTCAAAGAAAACTGGAAAAGAGCTACGACTTTTTATCAGTCAAGATTTTCAGAGAAATTGCTGTGATTGCTATATGTATCTTATACGAAAGGCCCCCATGAAGGATTAAGAATCCTGACGCCTGCAATTTTGACCTCTGGTGGTTGAGCACCAAGCCCTTCAGTGGGAAACAAACTGGAGTATATAAAACCCTACTTTATCCTTGGGCAGCCATCCTATATTATTTTCCATGCTCTCCAACATGTGGAGCATTGTTTATTTAAATGGAGAGACCTAACTTTTTACAAGATGGCAACATTTTGGAGCTGTTGTCGACCCATCTCTCTATCTAGGAGTTATCTGGACTTAGAGGAACAACAGAACTTTCACTATCAATGTACTCGAGGTCAAGTTAATGTGGTTTAATTTCTTTTCAATTTCATGAAGAAAATTCCAATAAGAGAAACTTCTGTTGTTCATTCACTAGGCTTGCAGTCACATACTCCTTACCTAGCAAGTGCTAACAAAATGAAGGCTGGTTGATGTCTAGAAGCTCCATGGAAACTTCTAGTAAACATCGATTCCTGGGACCAATTCAAGGTGAGATCCTAGGTATGGTGGCAAGGTCTTGAGATCTGTCCTGTAAAACATCTCCCCAAGTGAGTCTGATCTGAGGGGTTAGGAACACAAGTCCAGAAGTCTCATCTCTGTGTATATTGTTTTGGTTTCTCATCTTCTGCTTTTGACATAGCATCAGAATGAAATTTACAGACCAGGAAAAATGTTTACCTCAAACTTTAAGTAGTTTAGCTGGAAAAGTAAGATAAAGCCTAAGATGGCAGAATCAATTATTCGTGCAGAGCAAACACCTGTGGACTAAATTCTGTGTGAATTCAGTTACAGAGCCACTTCCTTTTTCAGACCCTGCCGTTGACACAGCGTCAGAATATAATTTACACAACCGGAAGACGCTCCCTTCAAACTGAGGGCTGTTTCATCGAAGAGTGAAATAGAACCTAAGATGGCAGTTATTTTTCCAGAGGGAATGCTTGCAGGCAAAATTCTGAATGCATTCAGTGAGAGTCGCTTCCCTTTCTTTGAAATATCTCTAGTTCCTATCCAACATCAACACGTTAAACAGGAAGTAGCAGGGAATCTAGTTTTCACTTTTTCTGCTCTTCAGAGCCAGCTCACTCTGCCCACAATTGGTGCTCAATAAACTGACTGAAACATGAGGAAACACAGCTTTTCTCCATTCCCTCTTGCAATCATTGTGTAATCGCTCTGCTCCCCGGTAGCTGAGGTAGATCACTGGGTCCCTGGTTAGATGGACCTTTACCTCATGATGGGTTCAGCAGTCACGTGTGCGTGGTAGAACAGAGAATACCAATAGGGCAGGAGGGCATAACGTGCTCTGATGGCTTCTCGAATCAACCGGGTGTGTTTCTCCCCAAAGAGCCAGGGTTCCCGTCGTTTGGTTTTCATGGTGGCATGACCGCGGAAGAAAGGCTGATAGGCTCCAGCCTGGTACCAACGCACTAGCAGCTCCGCCTCGGGATTCCCGATGAACCCGCCGACATCAGCTGGCCAGCCAAAGAAAGGCCAAGAAACAGTTAGGATGAAGTCTTTGAAGAATGAAAACAAAACAAAAGAGGTACAGCCTCAAACAATTTGATAAAACTGTGGCCACCACTCCTCAGACAGTTTGTTGTGCTGCAGTGGAGTGTCTTGAAATCTTACCACCAGTGCATCAAATACCAGTAGGGTCACCCAGGCTAGTCAGTTTTCAGCAGGGATTATAGCCTAAGACACACCAGGAAGAAGGACATGGCGATCTACTGAACAAATTGGCCAGTGAACCCTTATGAGTAAGAGTGGAGCATTGTCAAAGAGGGAGAATGTGCTAATAAATTCAGTGTGGTCTGTCTATGTGGTCTTTTCTTGTCAAAAGTCAGAGTTGCTACTGAAAAATTAACATTCCTGTATGTTCCAGAACCAAGACAGTAACAGAACTGACAACTTGGGGAGGCTGGAGGAGGCGGGGGGGGGATAAAGGGGAGCTGATAGCAAAGAGTTCAAGAAGAAGGAAAATGTTGTGAAACTGATTGTAGTAGCAATTGTACAAGAATGCTTGATCTATTTGAATTAAAGAATGTTATGACATCTATAAGAGCTCCCAATAAAATGATGAATGAAAACAATTTTTTAAATGACAATTTGTCAGTCAGATTGTCAGTGTGTGAGTGAGAGGGGTGGGGAGGGGAGAATTAACTCTTGATTTTTTTGAAAGGGCAAAAGCTGAATCAAGATAAAAATTATAGAAAGATCTAAAGAGAAATGGATCATCAGAATTAGAGGTTTAGATAGAATTTCATGCTGACCCTTGGGCAGATATATTCCTTGTATTGTATTAGGATTGAGGGCATCAAACGTAGGTATCAAATGTGATATGAAATTCTGTTCCTCCATTTCCAGGTCTCCTGTCTGCAGAGAATGATGGGTGCCGCACACGAGGGTACCGAGTAGGCAGCCCATCAGAGAACATTATTTTAACAAAACTAACGTTTCTTGGGAAAGATCTCTCTTTTTGTACAGTTAAACGACATCACAGGATTTTAAAACTGCCCACAGAAGGGGCTTCTGTAAGGTTGATGTGCTAAATTATTTGCAGTTCCCTGCAAGTTCTCACTTCCAAGAAAGGGTATGCTTCCGGGGGCGGGCAGTTATCAAGAGCCCCTAAGCTGGAAACAACCAGAAATGAGGGAAAGAAACTTTCTGGCTCCATTTCTGACGTTGTGTCTTCAGTTCAGACAAGACACTGATCGCTCTGAAGCATATCTTTCACTTTCCCTCATTTTGTTTCCCACATTCATCAAACGGGTTCACAGTAAAAAAGGTTGCACACAGGTTGCATAGCAACTGAACAATACCACCAGGCTCAAAGATTGTACTGCTTTGGACATTTGTCGCTCTCCAGAGTCCTGCCAATAGTCCAGAATCCAGCCTCAGGCTCCGAGAGCCTGCTCCGTGCAGAGCAAGGACTGTGCTGGACTTCGGGGAGGGGTATTATTGGCAGGACTCTGGAGAGCAACACACAGTCAAAGCTGTGTGGGTTGACTGCCATTTTGAGCAGGGTGCAGTTGCTTGTTTCTTACTTGGGTCAAAATACCTCAAGCAACAGTTTTGGTTGCTGTGCAACATCTATGCAGCTTCTGTTTACGTTCACAATTATGGAACCATTTTGAGATTGATGTAAAGCTCTAGTCCCAATCTGCTGATGAGAAGGAGTTCGTAGGCAGCTTTAATGAATGCACTCTGATTTTTAAATTTTCCTAGGGCAGGGCTCATCTTACCTCCACAAAAACTGATCCCAGTAATGCTGAGGGTGAGCAACATTGGGATGGAAATTTTCAGATAACTCCAATCTGATCTGTTGTCTCCAGTCCACACAGCACCTTTGATCACCAAGGTATTTAAATAAACATGTATCAACCCATGCACTCAATTTCATATTTTGGTTATTTGTAATAAACAAAATTTAAAAACCATTTATTTCTTACAATATACAAATTCTGAATTTCTACAATAAAAATGAATTAATTTTCCAATGTGAAAGTTATTAAAATCTACAAAAAAGCATTTCATGAAAATATCCTGAAATTGCACTTATTGTTCCGAAGTATAATTCACGTCTGATTTTAAATACATTTAAAATCAATTTCATTGAAGCCTAATTTACATACAGTGAGATGTATATTAAGCGGAGAGTTTGATAACTTTGAAAAATGTACATTTATGTAACTACCACCACAACCAAAGTATACTCAAAAACTGTCATCGCATTGATTCCGACTCACAGTGACCTGAAGGACAGAGTAGAACTGCCCCTGTCGGTTTATGAAACTGTAACCTTTTACAGAAGAAGAAAGCCTCATCATTCTCCCTTGGTGGTTTTGAGCTCATGACCTTGCAGTTAAAAAGCCCAATGCTTAACACATTGTGGCACCAGGATTTCTTTCTATATAGATCAGTCCTCTCTAGCATTTTACATAAATGAAAACATACAATGCTTTTCTTCCCTGTGATCTGGCTTCTTTCACTTGGTATAATGTTTTTGAGATTCATCCATGTGGTTAATTTGTTTTTATTTGCTAAGTAGTATTCAATTGGCTATATCGATAATCGTTTATCCATTCACTTATTGATGGACATTTGGATTCTATCCAGATTATAAATGAAACATCTATGAACATTTGAGTACAAATCATTACCTTTTATGTTTTCATTTCTCTTGGGTAAACAGCTAAGAGAATAAAAGTTCTGGTTTCCAAGTACAGACTGACCATTTTTAAGAAAGTCCCACAGGTTTGACAAAATGGTTGCACTGTTTTACATTTCCAGTGGCACTACGTGAAGCTCCAGCTGCTCAACAGCTGGCTGGTACTTGGGAGGGCCAGTCTATTTCAACTCCAGCCATTCTACTGGGTGGGAAGCGGCAGCTCTCGGTGGTTTTCATTTGTATTTCCCCAAGGACTAAAGAAAAGAGCCCTGCGGGTGCAGGGATCAAACACTGGGCTGCTAGCTGAAAGGTCAGGGTTTGAAACTACCAGCTACTCCATGGGCGAAGGATGAGGCTGTCTGCCTCTGTAAGGAGATCTACCTGGGAATTCCAAGGACTAGTTCAGCTCTATCCCAGAGTCACAGTTAAGTTGCAATCGACCTAAAGATAATGTATGTTAAAAAACAAAAGATAATTGACTTGGCTTTTACCCATTTAGTGACAAAT